GCATTCCCCCCCCCCTTGTGAAAGGCTCTAGACTAAAATAAAATGCTGCTTTTTGAACAAACACAATATGGACAAATGTGTGAATCGTAGCCGGGATGTTCTTTCCATCTTCATGTCCTGCTCTGGAGCCTTCACGGTCTGTGTGTGCTTTCCATATCAAACTGTCTGGAAATCCTACATTCTTGCTTCAAGGATAAGCCCTACAACACAAGAATGTACAAGCCGGGCCAATGGGCAAATAACTTCTGGGGCTAGTGCTCTAATGATCCTTTAGAATTATATGGAGCAGAGGGACATTGTTATTCCAAGCACAAGGATGTAACTAACCATTTAGCATTAGCCAAGAAAAGCAGTTTTATTGGGTCATTGGTATAAATTAGTCTAGTCCTTAGAGATGTGTTCTTAGCTTTGGTAAACATCTATTGGACATCTTATCTGTTCTGATCAGTGCATCTGAGCTCTGAGTGTCTGAGCCTGTGTGTGGATCCTGCAGTGGGAGCTGTAGTCACATGCTCCCACTGCAGCTCTTTTGTGTATTGTTTCTTATTGTTCTTGTAATCACCAGGGGAAAAAAGGCGTTTTTGTGTTGCTTGCTGCTGTCGTCTTTTACGTATCACCCCCTCAATTTAACTTATTCCTTTTTGGCTTCTTACTAAAATAAGTCTTAAGAGGTTTTGAACAAGGTATTACACTGCAATGAGTAATCTGACCCAATAGCTTGATGTCTGGGTGGTCTTATATTGCCTTCTTAAGATTTTTCCCAAGTGGTGTTTTTTTTTCTTTTTTCTTTTCAATTCAAGTGTTCAGTTCAGGTGTTTCTTTAAGCTGTTGAGTTTGTGTAATATCCTTTTTGCCCTTTGTTACTCTTCCCCTTTGCCTTTCACCTTCCCTTCCTGTCTCCTTTTTTCATATGACAGGTGAATAATGCCAAAGTCCTCCACTATGTCGGAGCAGGCATTGCCTTCCCCACCGGTATGCTGTTTGTGTGCCTGCAGTCAGTGCTAACCTACCAACTGGCCAAGACCCAGGGGGAGTACAACGTGGCCCACCTCCGGCTCTGCATGACCCTGCTGGCCTTCGTAGCCTTGGTGCTCAGTATCCTCTCCAGCCACTAACAGATGGCAGCCTTCAAGGAATCGGTGTCAAACCCTGTCTTTAGTTTTTATGGGCTACTGTACAGCTATACATGAAGTAGATCCAGAGATTGATTGATATGTTGTCAAACAGATCTGTTTTACACATAACCCAATGCCGTGAAGCCTCTTACACACAGTTCAAATTGGTCTGAGAACCAATTGTATGAGAATGGTCAAAGTGAGTTTGTACTGAGGTGAACTGGACCAGTGTTAGGCTAGCATACAGTCTTGTGAAAAAATTAGGACACATTTTGAAAGCATGTGTATTTTGTAACATTTTTTTAATATATGGTTATTTAATCTCACTTTTAACAATACAGAGAGATTAAAGTAATACAACTAAATAATTAAAACTGAAGAAAAGTCTTTTCAAGATCTTCTGTAAATGTAATTCTACAAAAATGCCGATATCTAACTGAGGAAAAAGACAGCACACCCTCACATGTATGCCCTCTTAAAATGGCTCAAATCACACCAGGTGCACATAATTAGTAGATTGTTATTCAGCATTTTGAATGAGGCTTGCCCTATCTAAACCTCAGACATTTAGTTTGGTGTGCACCTGACTGTTGAAGTGAGAGTGAGCACCATGGTGAGAGCAAAAGAGCTGTCAGAGGCCTTCAGAAAAAAACATTGTAGCAGCCTATGAGTCTGGTAAGGGATTTAAAAAGATCTCAAAAGATTTCTTCACAGTTGGTATGAGGTTCTTTTCCTGGAATGCTGTGTTTGGTTTATGCCAAACATGTCCTCTGCTCTGGTGTCCAAATAATTCAATTTTGGACTCATCTGTCCAAAGAACATTATTCCAGAAGTCCTGGTCTTTGTCAACATTCTCTCTGGCAAATGTCAGTCTGGCCTTGATGTTTCTCTTAGAGAGCAAAGGTTTCCTCCTTGCACGCCTCCCATGCAAGTTAAACTTGTGCAGTCTCTTTCTGATTGTAGAGGCATGCACTTCTACATCAACAGTAGCCAGAGCCTGCTGTAGGTCTCGAGATGACATTTTAGGGTTTTTGGAGACCTCTTTTAGCATCTTGCGGTCTGCTCTTGGTGTGAACTTGCTGGGGCGACCAGACCTGGGCATGTTGGCAGTTGTTTTGAAAGCCCTCCACTTGTAGACTATCTTCCGGACAGTGGAATGGCTGATTTCAAAATCTTTTGAGATCTTTTTAAATCCTTTACCAGACTCATAGGCTGCTACAATGTTTTTTCTGAAGGCCTCTGACAGCTCTTTTGCTCTCACCATGGTGCTCACTCTCACTTCAACAGTCAGGAGCACACCAAACTAAATGTTTGAGGTTTAGATGGGGCAAGCCTCATTCAAAATGCTGAGTAACGATCTACTAATTATGTGCACCTGGTGTGATATACCTGTGTGTGATTTGAGCCATTTTAAGAGGGCATACATGTGAGGGTGTGCTAACTTTTTCCTCAGTTGGAATAGGCATTTTTGTAGAATTACATTTACAGAAGATCTTGAAAAGACTTTTCTTCAGTTTTACTTGTTTAGTTGTATTACTTTAATCTCTCTGTATTGTTAAAATTGAGATTAAATAACCATATATTAAAACATGTTACAAAATACACATGCTTTCAAAGGGTGTCCTAATTTTTTCACGACTGTATATGCTTGAACAACTCAGACTGCTGCTCATGGCTTGGCTGTTACTGTCCTTAACTATGTTTCCAGGTGGTGTGTTTTTCGGTCACGAGAGTTTTGTCCTCCAACATACTTCAGCCATCTTTGAATGGGTGTTCTGCGTCATCATCATGCTGTTTTACGGGACATTTGCCTTTGAGTTTGCCAGCATATCAGGAGATACCTTGGTGGTACTGGCTATTGGAGGGACTATGGGACCTGCTGGGAGAGAACACAAGGTGGATGCGCTGGGAGCACACTCACAGCCACATCCGCACCAACCCGAAAATATGTCCATGCTGTAGCCTGCTCGTACTCCTCGATGCCACACAGTTGGTTTGTTTATTCCGTTCGAACTCCGATTGTCAAAGGAGTTGAATAATTCATTTCCAAGTCACACTCGTGTGAGACTTTCAAATGATCAGGCCAGTGCAGCAGCCATTCATGGCAAAGGGGGTGCTACTATTTCACCCCCAGGGGTGTAGATGTGCTGCCACTGCTGGAGAGCTCAGCTTGTAATGTTCTTACTTCAGAGTGTTGTCTCTCTTAAGAACTTGTTGGCCTTTTGCACACTGCACAAGTTTGCCATGATGCTTTCATTGTAAAGAAGCGAAGGCTGCTGGACAGCTTAGCTGGCAATGGTGTATGAGTGTTATAGTGGGCGCAAGAGAATGGATGAATGCAATTAGCGAAATAGAGTATATATAAATGTATAAGAGTATATAAATGCTTCAGTTAATCCTGCAGACAGAACAAGGCAGCAGCCTGCTTTTTGCAATCATTTAAGCTTCATAAAGTTTTTTTGATCCTGTCAAATTATTGTAATGTCGAAGAGCCCTTCATAAACTAGAGAATCAACGCCCCATTAGACATACAGTTTAGGTGCTTTTAGCTGACTGTTATTCAGCTTGCCGACTGTACGCTATCTTCCAGCAGAGCTAAAGAGAAGATGGTAAGGGAAGTTGATTATTTGGCAGGAGTTGGTTAACCAGGGCTAACTGGAAACTCAACATTAGACTCACATTTTTCATAATAAGCAATGTTGTTCAGTGTCTCCTGGATGTGCAAGTAGGCACAGATATTACAGCCATAACAGCCTCTTTTTTTTTTTTTATTGTTTTTTTATGTGGTTTAAAAAAATGCTTAATGCAGCTTCAGAGTATACACCAACTGTTTTTTTTAATCAGCAACTTTAAATTAGGCAAATATAACTCTACAGAGCACACACTGCCTTTTCATATCTGGATGTTTTGTTGATATTCTGTATCATTATGTTAACTACATACTGCACATGCAGTAGATCTGGTGCCTCATGAAATTAAACCTTTATGATTGAGTCTCATTGTTAGGGTCAGTCTAGTATATCGACCTTTAGACCTCAAACAGTTTTTGATTTAACATCCTGTCTGTACAGTTCTACCAAAGAATATGAAAGATAGATGACACAGTGCCCAGAGGCCAAATATGTACCAGCTAATTCAAGCCAGAGCTCTGGGTTTATTGAGTTCTGATGAGGCTTCGCACATGTTTTCAGGTCCTACAGACAGAAATTTGCATCTTATTATTACCCAGCAAAACAGGAGAACATGCTGTTATTATTTCACGTTCTTGCTTCTACATTGATCTCTCCATAGTTAGTTTTTCAGCATGTCCAAAGGGAGAAGGAGCTGTCCTGCCTCTGTTACTGTGCAGCAGTACGTGCCAAGTATCAGTGTCACTGTTGCTAAAACGTGAACGGCCTTATCCCGTCATTCTTTCCCTGAGTTTAGCTGTGATTATGATAAAACCCAATAAATGAAAGCAATAAAATGGTCAGTCTGTAGAGGAGCAGGGACAGAACATTGCATGAATGCCAGAATACCAATTATTTGACACTGAGAAATGCTCCCTGCTAAACCTACTCTGACTTGAAATGTGGCCATATTTTGTTCTTGGTGCAAATGCAAAGTTGTAAATCAACTTAACAGAGTTTTGCCAGAACTATTGTTTATACTTTTAAGAGATGATTAACATCTCAGTGTAATATTAACGCTCTGAGCTCTCTGTTAGTCAGCTTTCACACAGTGGAACTATCACTGTGTCAAACTACAACAAACCACATGTTGTCAGAAGGGTATTTATTGGGGGGTGCGCCAGTATTTTTTCAGTGCTGTGGAAAGAGTTGACCTCAGGCACAAGTTTATAGTCGGTTTTAAAAGGACTGAAATGTACTAAATCTGTCTCTGCCTGAAGACTGAATACTGCTCTGTGCAATGAGCTGGAAGGTCGAAGCAGCACCAGCCACACACCACTGATCACTTGCTTCGCCCTACTGGTCAAACTGCTTATTACAGATGCTTACGTGCTGGAATCAGAGCTATTGTAGACCAGCTCACAAGAGGTTTTCTACTTGGACAATGAAACATTTTTTGTAACCACAGAGAGGAAAGTTTAGTCAACTACAGGTTTAGCCCAAATCCACTTTTGCTTTACTTCTAAATTTACAAGTAATGAAGAGCACTTCAACTCTGGCTTCAGTTCAGCAGTGATCTTCAGATTGTTCTCCCTGGCCTTGAAGTAAAACTTGGCCTTGTGAGCAAATGCTGCTTTTACAATATGCATGTTTTGAAAATCACAGGTTAAAGTTTGATGCATTTAAATGTTAAGCTAAATTATGCTGCTGCTCATTTCATCATTGCACATTTACTAAAAGTGTTCATGGTTTATACATGTTAGAAATCTTCATAATGCCTGTATTCCCTGTTGGACACTACAAAAATGGTTTAGAATTTCTTTAGCATTACTTCTTTGGTTTCCTTCTCATTTCATTTCAGATTTTTTCTTATTTTCTGATTTGTCTGATCTTTGCACTCAGGAAAATGTAACAATACCAGCTGTGTTGTCTGATACAAAGCAGAATGAGGTCTGTTTGCTTGCTGCCTTCTGTTGTCTTTATTTTAATAGTATTCATTTATGTTTGAGGTTTCGCCATGTATGTTGTGTGTAGTGTAGGAGCGACTACCTTTTTACATGAAGCCTAAAAATAAACATTCCTGTGTAGTTAGCTTGTCAGAATGCTTATGCTGCTCAGACAAACATGGTTACACATCTGCAGGAAAAACTAGCTTACCCCATGCAATCAGTAGATCATTGGTGAGAGCATTCTGGCAAACAAACTCGCTGTAAATCTGACACAAATGTATTACTCTATACCCCATTCTCAGTTCATGTTCCCCATGTGCCTTATGTATTATTTTTTCACAATGAAAACCAAAAACGTTTACTGCTGGGTGTAAATTCTATTTTGATGGAAAGCCATATTATTATATGTACTGTATATGCCTTACTGTTCAAAAAGTAAATATATATATCTATAAAAAAAAAAAAAACCTTTGTGCTTCATAGTTTGCATCCAGGTGGCAACTCAAAGGGCTGGTTTATAATTTTCTTTTGTTTAATTTTTAAAAAAATTATTCACATTGTCCTCTGACAAACAAAACTGAAATCCTAGACTTGGCAGCAAATCGGTGTGTTGACAGTTGACACCAGCACTTGGGTCCATTAGCTTCCAACTCGGCACTGTCATCCAGAAACCCTAGTGTTCTTTTTTATCCCCAGCTTAACTTCCATGTCTAATGTCAGTTACTCAGTCCTGCAGAAATGCAGGGTTCTGCTTCTTTGTGTTGTTCCAATGCAAACAAAAGCAATAAACATGAAAATACCAAAGAATTTATGATTGTAACAATTTTATGGGAGAAGTGGTGTGTTATCTGACAGAAATGAGGGGTGCTGATATTTTTGGCCATGAATGTACAATTAATACAATACTCTGCTGCACATTTAGTAACAAGGACTCCACAGTGTTCTCACATCACCTGAGCACTGGCGTCGTTACACCGGCTTCCTGTTAAATTCAGAATTTACATTAAAAGCCTTCTAATAGCTTATAGAGCACTAAATAACAGCTGCTGATCCTTAACAGGTCCTCCACAACTCTCAGATTATCAAAACAAGGGCTCCTGCTTGTGCCTTACTCAGAGTTTAAGACTTGTGACTGGTGGTGTTCTGTCCTGGTTCCATATATATGAAACGGTCTCCCACTTTTCAAGTATTTTTCAAAGGCTTTTCAGTCATGTAATGCCTTGCATATATTTGCTATACACATATGTGTGTATGCATTAGATATGTGTGAACATGTATATGTAGGTATTGTTTATTTAGACTATGTACTTTAGTCCTTTTTTGGCTGTTAAGCACTTTGTAACCTTGGGTTTACCTACAACAATATTGACGGATGTGACACAATCGCATCGGATGACGGATATCAACACATGAAATAGTGGAAAGCTTCTCTTACAAAACCTAGGTTGGCTTTAGAAGAAAGCACCACAAAAGTCCTAATCCTCTGTGAAATTTTAACAGAGTACTGTTAGCACTTCCTCAGTCCCATCAGACTTTTTTCAGGAGAGATTTAGATTAAAAACTTCATGATTAAGCAATGACAAAAGCTGACTTTACATTGTTTTTAATGGCCTGGGGAAATTTTTTAATAAACACACAAACTATGTTCTGATCTTCCAGAAATCTTGAAATTAAATTAGTTTTAATACAACAAAAAGAGCTGGATTCTTGCTTGTTCTACAACGTTCTTCTAAAAAGTCAGTTATGGCTAGCCTTTAATAAATAGGTTGAAGTAATATTTTAAGCAGACTTGTTTTTAATTAGTAGCAGCTGTATTCAATCTTATAAACAGCTGTTCAGAATATTTAAATTGAGTAAAGTGCTCATTGTACTGTTTGGCATAACTGTGTGCATCAGACTGAACACAGACAAGAGGAAGAAAAGAAATCAATTGTCTGATAAGAAAATATAATTGCCAAGTATGGTCCAAGTACAGGCTTCAAGACCACCTCCAAGCTTGATGCTTTCTGTGACCACAGTTGCTAAGCTGATCAAGAAGTTTAAGGTCCATGGGACTGTAGTCAACGTCCTGCTAGTGGAGAATTGACTCCCAGGTTGAACAGAAGGATAGTTTGAATGGTAGGAAAACAGATGCAGAGTTACCTCCAAGATTAAGGTACAGCAGTGTACAGATGCGTCACATTGTATGTTGCTGTCTGGGTGAAACATAAAGACCTGCCTGCAGTTTGATGAAGCAAACTGAGAGCTGCTGCTTGGTACTGTGAGTCACATCAGTTCAGTGACATATTCATATAGATCAGCCAGCAGGTGAGCTGAGTGGCAGTAAAATAAACTTAATATTAAAACAAAGCAGGGCTGATGGGATGACAGCAATATGAAAACATTAGACTGCATAGCTTTGTTACATTTGATTGATTTTAACATTTCTGCTTAGAATGTAAGAGCCACCCCTGCATTAAATGGCCTGTCCTCTTGCACAGTAGTGTAAAAACTTCCTGTAGAACACATTATGACTGATGAAAGGCATTTTACAATCATTACAGAACAATTAAAAATTCTAAAACCAGGTCTTTGGTTGAACAGGAAGCACTACTGACATTTATATCATAGTCACTGAAGAACTATTTGATGTGGTCAAAAGTGCCTTTTGAAAATTAAGCTATGAGATTGTTTCTGTAGATCAATAATGAACATTCTCAGCTGTGAGGTAAAATGGTCTTTAAATGGGATAGAAGTGTTTTTCTCCAGAGGATTGTATCTGCTGATTGTACATGTATTCCTAAAGCACCAAAAATTGGATGTTGTGTGGGCTAGAAGAGGATAGATTACTGTGATATCCTCTAAAATGTCTCTCTTTTCATTGGTAGAATGTCCCATTATATGCCCACTGCCTACAACCACTCTTGAATATACAGTCAGGGAAACCCCAGCTGATTTTGTAAGTTTGCCCACTAACAAACTCTTCACCATGGCCAAGACCAAAGAGCTTTCCAAGGATGTCAGGGACAAGATTGTGGACCTACACAAGGCTGGAATGGGCTACAAGACCATTGCCAAGCAGCTGGGTGAGAAGGTGACAACAGTTGGTGTGATTATTTGCAAATGGAAGAAACATAAATTAACTGCCAGTCTCCCTTGGTCTGGAGCTCCATGCAAGATCTCACCTCGTGGAGTTTCAATGATAATGAGAATGGTGAGGAATCAGCCCAGAACTACTT